CCTCCCCCTCGCTACAAACTGGCGGCGAGCCAGGAGGAGAAGTGAGAAGGAGCAGGCCCTCTTAAGAAGCGGCGGGGGATCTCTCGGACGCCCTCGCGCCCTCCGAGAAGCTTCCCGCGTGCCTCTGGGGAAGGCCGAGGACACGTCTCAGAAGGCCGGGGGACGTCCGGGCCCTCTGAGAGTCGGTGGTTCAAAGCTGGGGTCTTGAGGGATGGGGTCCTAAGGACGAGGGGCCTCAAACAATGTAAATCCACAATTTTGAGCAGATGCCGACCGTCGCGGCATTCCGTTAGACCTACCACGACATGTTCTTAGAACCCAAGAACGTTCCAATAACCAAAACCGTGCTCTTAGAACAGGAGCCCGATCTGCGTCAGCCAGAGGTGTTCTAAGAATATCTCGCGCAGGCCACGAAAGGCTCTCGAAGCATTCTCCTCGGTGGGCCTACCAGGCAAGAGCGTGGACGCCGCGCCACTGCTCGACAGCTGGGCCCGTTCCTACTTCTACGGGCTCCCCTCCCTCAGGACCCCACCTTTATCGGGTCGGGCGAAAGGGGGGGATAGCAAAGGGGGGGGGGGAGAATCAGCTCACGTAGCTGATTTTCCCGGCGCCTCCCAGCGCCGGAGGCGGCTATGTATCGAGGAATGGGCCCCTCGGTGAGGCCGAAACCAGCTGCATGCAGCAAATTTCGTACCCCCCCCTTTCCCAATCCCCCCCTTTCGCCCGGCCCGACTTCAGGGGAACAAAAAGTTACACAAACATAAAGAATCAGAGGTCCGCGCGGATTTCTCGGACCGGCGCTGGGGCCCCCCGGCGGCGCCTCCGGCGCCGCCCCTGGCGCGCTCCGCGCGCCAGGGAAGGGGGTGTCCGGCGCCGATCCGAGAAATCCGCGCGGACCTCCGAGTCTTTATTGCCACTTGTTGATGGGCCTGTTTTCCACCACCACCACCATAAGTTGGAGGGGGGGGTCCTCCTCCTCCTCCTCCTCATCCTCATCCTCTTCGTCCTCCTCCTCGTTTTCCACCTCCTTCCCCCCTCCAACTTCTGGTGGTGGTGGTGGTGGAAAACAAGCCCATCATTTGTTGTTCCCCTATGGAGACGGGGCCCGCCCCTTCGCACTCCCCCCCCCCTGCCCTGACCTTCCAGGAGGGCAGGAAAAATAGCACCAGAACCTCGGCATCTCATGTCCCGTCGAGGTTCCAGGCAGTCCAGATAGGTCAATAGGTCTGGAGGGCTATTTGTTTGCACTCTGGAAGGTCAGGGTGGGCCCACCGCCGCACGGCAGCAGCACTGCTGCCGCGAGCCTGCGCCCCGCCCATCGAGAGCGGGGCCGCACCCGCCCGGCCGCGTCGGGCCCCCCGCGCGCCGGCGGGAGCGCAGCACATCTGCCGGGCGCGGCTCGGATGGAGCAGGGACCGACCGTCCCGGCATTCCTGTAGTCCTGCCACGAGATGTTCTTATAGAACCCAAAAGTGTTCTACGAGCAAGAGCGATGCTCTTAGAACATAAGCCCGATGCGGTAAAACAAAACACTCCCGGCCAGAAATGTTCTAAGAACCTTTCGTGGGAATCACAAAAGGTTCTTGGAATATTGTTTGGTGGGGCTATAGGCGAGCCAGGACGCTTCGCCACTGCTTGAATGGATGGCCGCTGCCCGGGCCGCTCCCGGGCCGGTCTGCCACACGGACTGGCCCGTCCCGATTTCCAAGGCCGAAGGATTGCAACAAAAACCCAGGATTACCAAAAAAAACAGGATTGCAAAAAAACCCAGGATTGCAAAAAAAACGAAGGATTGCAAAAAAAACGAAGGATTGCAAAAAAAAACAGGATTGCAAAAAAACAGGTTTTTTTTGCAATCCTGGTTTTTTTTTGCAATCCTTCGCCAACGGCGATGTGGGTGTTGGCCCTGAGATCCCACGGCGGCGCAGTTGCTTCACAACGGGCGTTGTCGCTCGATTCTGGGCCCCGCGGCCCTCACAGATCGGTCCGGCCCGAAAAACCGGCGCAGAGAGATGGCGTCCCTGGGCTCCGGCCTTGATTCCCAACCATCCTGTGGTGTTGGGTCCTCGTTTTGAAGAGACGTCGCCCCGCGTTCCTTCCTCCTCCTCCTTCCTCCTCCTCCCCTTCCTCCCCCCTCCTCCCCCTCCCACACCCCTTCTGGGCCCCGTGACCCTCACAGATCGATCCAGCCCGAAAAACGGCGCAGATAGATGGCGTCCTGGGCTCCGGTCTTGATTTTTTTGGATCTTGCCATTTTTGCAAAGTCGGACCTCAAGGAGCGGCGATGGTGGGAATCTTGTCTCTGCGACGCCGAACGCACGCAGACCAGATGGTAGGAAAACGTGAACAGGCCTTGTAGACCATCGGATTGGCCACGAACCACCCCCACCTTCAATGCCGAGACCGACGTCGCCGTTGCCAATCTCGCCGTTCGCGTGTCTACGGGAACTGCACTCACCCGGAGGATAATATTTCAAAATGCGCGCCGCACTTCAGCAGCTCGGCGACGACCGTGCCAGCCGGTCTACGAATAATATGAAAGACGTCACAAGAAAAAACATAATAAATTAAAGCTGTGTCGAGTTGCCCTGCCGCCTGCCGCCGCGGTTCGCGCGACAGCTTTCAACAAAGGGGGCTGCGCTGAGGCAGGGCTGGACCTAAACGTTGTTTGCCGTCTGTGTCCGTTTTGTGCTTCGCCGTGTTCTACCCGCTTTCCTGCACCTCCCTACCACAACGAGACAACAGAACACGGCCGAAGTCCAGCAAAACAGCGTCCAGGCCCGCAAAGCCACTCTAGGGGAACAAAAAGTGGCATAAACATAAAAACTCGGAGGTCCGCGCGGATTTCTCGGATCGGCGCTGGACCCCTCTCCCTGGCGCGCGGAGCGCGCCAGGGGCGGCGCCGGAGGCGCCGCCGGGGGGGCCCAGCGCCGATCCGAGAAATCCGCGCGGACCTCCGAGTTTTATGCTTATGTCACTTTTTGTTCTCCTACACTCGGCCTCGCGCGCCAGCTTCCCCCACAGGGGTCTGCGCCGTGGTCCCCCGTCGCTCGCTGGCAGCAAGCGCCGTGCGTCGATGAGCAAGGCCGCGAGCGAGCTCCGCGCTGGCCCTCTTCCAAGAGCGCGCGCCCGCATCTCGTTCTCAAAACGCCGGGGGCGTTCTACTGGTGTTCAAAATCAACGTTGCATGTTTGTTTTCGGATCCGTTTTTTCTCCGTTTTGGGATTGCCGTCTCGTCATTTTCGGTTCGGTCTGAGCTCCGTTTTCTGCGTGCTTTGCCGTGTTTTGTGTACTTATGTTTCCCCTTTCTGTCAATTGTGTTCTGCTTGGGTTTGCAGTTTTTTTCTGTTTTGGGTTGCCGTTTTTCGCTCGTTTTGGGCCCGGTTGGTGTCGTTTTTGTTCTGTTGTGGGTTGCCGTTGTTTTGTTAGGTTTCGGTCGACCGCAACACGAAAAGTTGGAAACAGGGAGAAAAAAAACGCCACAGAATGCTGCCGGTCCACGGCAGACGCGATCGTGCCTCACAGGCACTCAGACTTCCTGCCATCGTTCGGACGCCCATTCCACGTGCACTCGTCGGGCTCGTGCGCGCTTTTTTCTTTCCCCCGGAAAGAAGACCCGAGATGTTCCTCCTGCAGATCCCCACCGAGAAGGAAGTGCACCCGCCCGAGAGACGCCAAGATTTCGGCTGGCGCAGGCCAGCGCGGCCTCCAGGGCGCCGGGACCCACCTGCTCCCCTGACCTTCCAGAGTGCTAAAACATAGCCCTCCAGACCTATAGACCCATCTGGACTGCCTAAAACCTCGACGGGAAATAAGGTGTCGAGGTCCTGGTGCTATTTTTCAAGCCCTCCTGGAAGGTCAGGGGAGCTCCGCGTTGGCCTCGGGCCTCCCGCGGTCAAGCGTCGCGCGTCTCCCGGGCCGGCTCCCAGAGGACAAAAGGCGGCTCCCCCAGAGGCCAGGGGGGGCCTCTGAGCTGACAGGCCCCGCAGCCCCTCGAGGAGGCCCGCTCCCTCTCGCTCCCCGCGGGCGGCGCGCGAGGAGCGGCCCTCCTCGGCGAGGAGCGGCCTCCGGTGCGCGGCTTCTGGGGGGACGCGGGGGGGCCAAAGCCGATGGCGCAGGCCGCTGCTGTCGCGTCGCGTTCAGCGATCGGGGGGGCCCAGTGAGCCCGCACCAGAGGTCGCTACGGCGAAGGGTCCCTCTTACGTGTATTGAGCAGGGACCGACCGTCGAGGCATTCCTGTAGGCCTACCACGATATGCCCTTAGAACGCCAGAATGTTGCCGGAGGAAGGCCCCATGTTCTCAAAACATACCACCGATGTGTTGAATAGCAGGGCGGCCCCAGCCAGCCATGTTTTGAGAACGTCTCGTGGAAACCGCAGGCGGGGCCTCGCCACTGCTCGAGCGTGAGCGATTCCTCCACCTGGGCGCGCCGCCGGCCTGCGCATGGGGCTCCTCACTGCGCGCCAGTGAGCGCGGCCTTCTTCAGAGAGCGCTGCAGCCTGGTAGCAAGGAGAGCTGACAGGGACCGCCAGCGGGAGGAGCCGGGCGGGGTCTCCCCGGTGGTGCGGTCCCCCTCTCCCGCTCGAGAGGTCCCCCCTCCATAGCTCGGAGAGGCATCCTGGACCTCCTCGCTGAAGGTGGCCCTTCTGGTGGTGTTGGCGTCGCTTCTCCAGAGTAAGAACTGCTGCGCGAGCATGCGCTTTCGACGGTCCACGCGGTGCCAACACGGGGTCCGAGTGCCGAACCAAGAGATCCGCGCAGAGCTCCCCAAGTTGATGCTTATGCAATTGGTTCTTCCTCGATATTCTCCTTGCCCCGACTTGAGCAGGGACCGACCGTCCCGGCATTCCTATAGTCCTACCCCGGAATGTTCTTCGAACCCGAACATGTTCTAAGAACAAAAACAGTAGTCTTAGAACGCAAACCCGACGTGTGAAAGCAAGACCATCTCCGCCAGAAGTGTTCCGAGAAGACTTCGTGGGAGCCACAAAGAGGTTCTTAGAGCATCGCCCGGTGGGGCTCTAGGCGAGCCGGGACGCTTCGCCACTGCTTGACCGACAGCCTGCGCCGCTGCGTGCGCGTGATCGGCAAGTGCGCCAGGGCGTCCTCCTCCGAGCCGGCGCTCCGCCCCGACCCCTGCACCAGACGCGCGGGCCACGGAATCTCCTCCGCGCACGGGGGGAGCGTGACCCTCACGAGGGGCAACGTCACGCGGGCGGGGGCCGGCTCGACGAGGGCTCCCAGCTCCGCGCTCCGCGAAGCGCGAAGCGCGAACCACTTCGCGCTCTCGCGCCGCCCCCCCAAAGGGAGGAAAGGAGCACGAGGAGGAGGGGGAGAAGGATCGAGGGCCGCGAAGCGCGAATCACTTCGCGCCCTCGTGGGAGCCCTTGCTCAAGGGGAGGAGGGGGGGGGGGGGGGGGGGAAACATCGAGCTGGAATCGGCTGGGAACATCGGCGACACATCGGCGACACCCGACGGCAAAACCGCATGTCCCTGGGACGGATGGGCCATCGGGCCCCGATCGGCGATGAGTGGCTTTTTGATAGCTTGTCGCAACGGCGGCCCCGGCGACACGCTGTGCCCTGCGAGCGGATAACGTGATGCTCCGCGCTGCGGGGCGGGGTGGGAGGCTCGAAAGGGCTCGGGATGCTGACGCCTGAGGACTCGGTAATGGATCTAACGTGTCGCGCCAAGCTGTGGGGGGCCAGAACCGGTGCAGCGACACGCTATCCAAAAGCTCCCGGCCGTATCTTTGGACGCCCGAATTGGGTACGGAAAATGTGCGTACGAGGCCTAACAACACATGTTGTCCAAAACCGACAGCGGCCGCTGTTGCGCAGGCCGCCTTCTGTCCCAAATGGACAACGCCCGTGGCGGCGCGGACAGCGAGTGCTGTCCAAAAGGAGCAGGAACTGCTGCTGGGCGTGGTGCCCATTTTATCCGTACCAATTATGTTCGTGCCGCCCAGACCTCCGGCGTCATGCTTTTCTCATGACGCGACCCCCAGAAAGGTCCGGACCCACCCCCCTGGAGTGGCTTTTCCTCCCGGGTCGTGGTCGGACGGCCCCGAGGCCCGGCAGGGGCCCCCGTGGTGCAGGGGCCGACAATGGCGGAAAGCCTCGCGGCGTGACTTTCTCATGCTTATCGATGAAGGAAAAACAATCTAAACAGAAACTTTTGGCGCTCCCCTCAGGTTCCTTGGATCTGGGCTGAACCCCCCTCCCTGGCGCGCGGAGCGCGCCGGGGGCGGCGCCGGAGGCGCCGACGGGGGGGGGGGGGGGGGGGGAGGGCCAGCGCGGATCCAACGCTGGGGGTCTGGGCGAGCCTCCCCCCTGTGACGCTGCCCCCGGACCTCATCGGCAGCTGCGGCCCTTCGCCCCCGAGGCTCCGCGCGGCCAGGCTCGCCGCCAAGCCGCGCGGGCCGAAGCTCACGAGGCTCACGCGGGCGGGGTCGCCCGAGGGGCAGCCGCCGCTGCTGCGCGCCAACATGGCGGCGCTCTTCGGGCGCAGAGCGGCGGGCGCCTCGGGGCGGCGGCGGGTGGCTCGGCACAGGGCTGTGCCTGCGCGCCCAGACCCCCATCGAGGCACGAACAAAAATCACGACGGGAGGTTTTTCGCCAAGTGTTGAGCCTCTGGGGGCCTGCTTCATTCTGACAAGAAAACGAATGATAAAACAAATGCCTCTGGGAGCCAATACCGGGCCTCGGGGCCGTCAGACAACGACACGGGAGGAAAAACCGGTCTGGGGGGATGGGTCCGGACCTTTTCTGGGGGTGGCGTCATGAGAAAATCATGACGTCGGGGGTCTGGGTAGCAAGCTCGAGGCGGAACGGTTTGAGGCAGAATGGCTACGGGAGCGACTCAGCCCCAAGAGCTGTTGAAACTGCTTTCCCCGTGTAAGAGAAAGGACAGAGGCGGGAGCTGATACTCCTACGGCATTCAGCGCCAGCCCTACCGCCCCTGCGGCCCCCAGAAATATCCACTCTGCTCCCGATCCCCTCTTGCACCGGTCCTGCTCCGAGAAAGGAAGGAGGAGGGGAGGAAACGGAGTCAGAGAAAGAGGGAAGTAAGAGGAGGCGGGCGAACGGGCCAGCGCTCCGGTCTACTTGGTCATCCTGAGACAACCCGCGGCAGCCGAGGAGAAGAGATGAGCAGCAGAGAGGGGTGGGAGGTGGGAGGCAGCAGCCTGGACAGCTGGCGGCTAGCCCACAAATCGGCACGGCATCTTCTTGGCCCCACAAATCGGCACGGCCTCTTCTTGGCGATGTGTTGGGCATTCGGATGCACGGCTTCGAGCCTTGAAACATATCAGCAGAACCAGAAAAACTAATGAGGATGACGAGCTGGCCCTGGGGAAGGGGTCGAGTGGCCAAGGGGCCGCCAGATGTCTGGGAAAAGGTGTGGGAAGCGAAAGGCCGCAGCGCTCTACTACCGCTGCGCGTCTGCTGGCGGGGAAACCACGAACGGGTCGGTGCGGCGTGCGACTCAAATTTGGCCTGTGTGCATGGTTGTGACCGCCGTGATGAGGTCATCATCGAAACTCTGCATCTGAAGAATGCTGCTGGGAGCACTGTGTGCAGGTCACGCTGATTGCATCAGAGCCCTCCAGCGTCTTGCCAAAGTGTCGCGGCGTGTCGTGCAAGCGGTGCAGCCCGGACCTGGCCAGCAGTGCGCCCCGAGAGCCCCCCAACGCGCACCGACGGCCTGCACAGGATTACCACCCCCACACTGGGATCATTGCAGGCCCGTGCATAGGGAAGGGGGCGAAGGCGAGTCTGGTCCTCCAGAAAAAGATACAAAACCATAAACAGAAACTGTTCGCATTCCGCGCGAATTTCTTGGATCCGGAGGCGCCGCCGGGGAGGCCACAGCGCGGATCCAAGAAATCAGCGCAGAGCGCCAACAGTTTATGTTTATGGCGTGTTTTCTCACTCGATCCTCCACATCTCCTCCTGCACCCAGGCAGGCGACCCCATGCCATACCCCTCACACACCAACGGCAACGCCCCCTCTCGAGCTGAGCGGCTGTCTGCGAGAACGGCGGAAGATCCAGGTTGAACTTCTTGCCGACCTTGCGGATCTTCTCCCAGAACGCGTCGGCCTGACGGTAGGCCAAGGGCTCGCTCCGAGGCAGAAGTACTATGCTTAGGTCGGGCATGCCCGCCTACAGGCGGACTTGGGGCGAAACATCAAAAATATACAAAAAATGTCAAGAATTGTAAAATTTCGTCCCCGAACTATTTTTCATTATTTTTGTATCAGGCCCGACTTAATGGCATGCGAGCTGAGCCTCCCTCCCACAAGAGGGCGGGGGAGGCTGAGCCCCGTCAAATTGCCCCTTCTCGGGGGCGCACTTTTTGCTGCACCGGCCCCCGCCGGCCTTCCTTGCCGATCGCTGCTCCCTTTGTCTAGGAAGTTCTGCGGGGCAGCTGAAACAACCGAGCGAACGCGCGCGGCGCGACCCGAAGTCGGTCGGTGCCCGAAGGGGAGGGCGGGCACGGGGAAGACGGGGGCGGCTGCGCCCCAGCCCCGTTCCCGCGCTCCTCCTCCTCCTCCTCCTCCTCCTCCTCCTCCTCCTCCTCCTCCCCCTCCTCCTCCTCCTCCTTCTCCTCCTCCTCCTCCCCCGCTTCCTCCTCCTCCTCCTCCTCCTCCTCCTCCTCCTCCTCCTCCTCTGGGTTTCTGGGTTTCTGGCCAAGGGTGCAGGTCGAGCTAGCTCAGCCTACACCAAAGCAAGAAAGAGGGAGCGAGGAGTGTCGTCCTCCCCCTCCTGGCGCCTCGGACGCGCCCGCGCCTGCGCGTCCACCGCCACATGCGTGCCGAACTTCAGTGGCGCGATGAAGCGGGACGGGCGACGTTCGCTCTCTCCCCCCCCCCCACAGCTGCTCACACCCACAAGCCCGCAACCCCACCCCCGTCCACTAGACCAGCACTGGCCTGAGAAAATATCACTACCAGCCGCAAGGAACCAAAAAGTGGGCAGAGGGAGGGAATTGGAAGAGGGAAGGGAGGGGAGCAGGTGGCCTGTGCCTAGAGGGTGCCACTGCGGGGGCACCCATCGATGTCCCCGGCTTGTTCAACATCAGGCGGGTGTCAATGGCCACTAGTAGGCGTTGAGCCTGTGCGGGGTTTACTCCGCCTCGGCTCGAAAGGGCCTGTAACCTCTGGATCTCTGTGGGCTTTCATGAAGCCCTCATCCTTGTCGATGACCTCACATCTGCCGAGTCTGCACTCATTCAAACGGTGGGGCGCAGATCATTTAGAGGCCTGAGTAGCAGGAGGCTGCGGAGGGAAAGCGTGGCGGTGAACGCCAGAAGGTGGGGGGGGGAGGGGTGAACGGGGCCTCCTCCTCCAGTGCACACCACAACGCATACTCGAAACCCACCACTCCTCCTCCACCAGAGGCCTGTGAAGTTAAACGTCTTCTATGTAAGCCCAGCCTCGTTGGCTAGAAACTGCTAATGCCACATAACCACGACTGGACCGCTGGGCTTACATAGGGGTGGCCTAGAAAACTTCATCACTGCCAGCCTCTTCCCCCTGACCCTCGTCGGGGGGTTGGATGCTGGCTGCAGAACTCACGGTCCAGCCCATTGGCGAATGCATCCCGCTCCGCCATGACTGTGGCTAACTGCTGGCGGAGCTGAGTTTCTTCCTCCTCTGTTCTTCAAGCACGCTGGTGAGGGGCCGCCTCATCCTCGAAAGCCGTACTTGGCTTGGGCCTCTTGGCCCTGTCCTCCTCCTCTTTGGGGGCAGGCCGCTTTTTGGAGGAGGGGGCCAGCTTGGGTTTAGCTACAAAACTGGCGGGCCCGCTCACTGCTTGCGGAGGCGGATGCACTGGGCGGCGTGGGGTATACGAAGCCCACAGCTGCTCTCTCCCTCACCGCCGCTCCAGGATGCTGGAACTCCCCAGCTCTGGGCCCCCTGCTGCAGGGAGAACGTGGAGTAGGATGGGGCTCATGGGCTCCCCCAACCTAGAACGCGGCTGTTAACTCCGCAACCTCCAAACCTCAAAATTCACCACTCCTCACTTCCAAGCTGCCTGTCTCTTTTCCCAGCCCTCGTCTGGGAGTTGAATACTGGCTGCCAGCGCGCGGCCCCATTGGCGAGTGACTTCCGCTCCACCGCTGGCTGCTGAGAACTACCTCGGCTCTTACAAAACGATGACAGGGGCGCCACATCTTCAAATGCCGTACTTTACTTGGGCCTCAAGGCCCTGTCCTCCTCCTCAATGGGACTTAAGCCCCCCGCGTCCACAAAGCTATCGCTGGCCTGAGATTATTCGCCGTCCAGCCTCGGACAGTAAGTGGGGTGGGGTGGGGGGGGGGGGGGGGGCAAGGTTGATGGGGGGAGGGAAGAGGAGATGGGGGATAAGGCACATCGCTTAACTCCTCCTCTTATATGACAGACAAGATAAAATAGGATAAACCTGCCTGGGCATTCCTGAGGAGAAAACGGCCTAGACACAGGGCGGCCGAAGAATCCGGAAAGTGGCGTAATATCCACACTCGAGTGCGAAACAAGGCACCAGACAGGTTTGCGGCATCACCTGGGACCGTGCTATGCACTATCCTCCAGGCTGTGCCCCCCTCAAAGCGAGGGGAGACCACCGAAGCCACTCCCTGGGTGCAGAGGTGGGTCGGGCGGTGGCATGGCCAGTTGTCCAGCAGCGACCTTTGCCACTGCCTCGCCCAGCCCACGCAAGAGTGACCCAACCTCTGGCTCACCCTGCTCAACGGCTGTCTCCGCAACGCGCCTGAGCCTGGCCAGCCTCTTGACAAAGGGCCGCTTGCTGACCTCCTGCGAGTTGATGACTCCCACAGTCCGGGCGCGCAGCACCTCCAACGGGACAAAAGCCTCCGCAGATGCCTTGAGGACCGAGAAACCTACCGACTAGTCCTTCTTGGTGTTCTTCACCGCGGCGAGTCCCTCCTCAGGGCCGTCCATGGCGGGGGGGGGGGGCCCGTCCATGGGAAACCAATGGGCAGACATCCCCCTCGGGGGCCCTGCCAGCGCCTCGTCATGCACCTGGGGCTCGGGGTCGCCCATGAACGTCTCCACGCTGTCCACCACGCATGGCTCCCACGCGCCAGGGAAGATTATGGAAGGCGAAAAACAAGACGTGGAGCTATTCCTGGCGCGCGACTCCAGGCGGCATCCCTTCTGCATGAACTTTAAGTCCCCCTCGCTGGCATCTGCCACGGTTCGCCCTGCAGCGTCCGCGTGCAAGGCAACATTGCGACGCAGCACGCTGAGCTTCGACTTCCCCCTCGAATGGAGCAAGTCCAGCAGGGCGGGGGCCAAGGCGAGCACCCTGTCAGAGAACTCGGGGTCCCCGAAGAGGGCCTCAATCGCCTCCCTGAAACGCTCGCACTGGCCACGAAGGCGAACCACTTCTTCCGACAATCGAATAATGGCCCGATCGGCAGAGAGTTTCGCCCATTCCCGCCGCCTCTTACGGTCTGAGGAATTTCGTTGAAGCGAGCTCGCATCACCCGAGCTCTCCCGTATACCATCTTCAGCGCGACACGCGCCACCAAATGCTCCTGCCGAAGGGGCCATCACCTTTCCGGCTTGAGCAATGGGGCTTTTGCTCGCTGCTGAGCGGCCAGAGCCAAAATGGCTACGGACCTCCTCCTCCTCCTCCTCCTCCGCTTCCTCCTCCTCCTCCCGCCTCTGCAGGGGTGGCGCATGCAAAGCGGCCCTCCCCCTCCCCCCGGTGGGGCCGCCCCCGCCTTACTTCCGCCGGGTTCCGCCGGCCTGCTGCTGCCCCACGCCGAGGAAGACCTGCCGACTCCTCCGAGCCTCGACGGCGAAGCGCTCTCTGGAACGCCCCGGGCGGATTACCGTGGAGGCCAGGCTCCCGCAGGAAACTCGGCCCTGAGACAGGGCGTCCATTGTTTTTTTTTGGCGCGGGCACGTCGCGCTTTCCGCGACAGAACCTGTCAAAGCCCAAGAAACCCGGGGCACCCTGGAGGCAAAGAAGGAGGAGGAGGAGGAGAAGGAGGAGGAGGAGGAGGGGTCTTCGAGCCCCCCATGGCGCTCCTCCACGCCTGCCCTCTCAGGAGATCGGGGGCGCGCGCCCAGAAGGGGGGGCGCGAACGGGGGGCGGGCCGTCTCCGGGGGCGGCGGGGCCGCTCCACAGCCGCCCGGTCTGCGGAGGAGTCCTCTGCGTTTTGGAAGGGGCCCCAGGACACGCGGATAAATACACACAAATAAACATATGCTGCATATTTTCTGGGTTTTGTCTTCCCCCCCACTTCCCATGTGTTCCTGCGTTTTCTGAGGAATCGTCGAATAATTGTGTCTGTGTGTGTTTTTTCCCCTCCTGAGGAGCTTTCTGGGCTTAAAAGCCTCCGCAGGCTTCGCGGGCGGCGGGAAGGCTTCAGGGCCTTCTTGGAAGACCCGCCTGCGATTCCAGAAGGCTCGCCCTCTCCCGCCCCGCTTCCGCACTCTCTCGCGCCCGCTCTGCCCGCAACCGTTATCTCTCAAACGGAGCCCTTGGCCTTAAAGCTACGCGGTTTGATCGAGCAGCGCTCTCATACGACAAAGAGCGCCGCGCCGCGCGAGCCACCCGCATCGCAGTGGCAACGGAGCTTAGCTCGCTATCCTCGGCCCGCGGGGCCGCCCACAACGACGACGTCCGCGACGTCATCACACATGTTAGAATCGAAAACCAGCATTTTCCGGGTGATCTGCGGCGCCCAACTGCTGCGCAGCACACACGCCAGCGTCCGCGACGCTAGCGCCGACAGCAACGCCTACTACGCCTACCCTGCCAACTCCCGCGCCAGCGTCAGCGACGCCAGCAGCAACGCCTACTGCGATTTCAACGCCAACTCCCACGCCAGCGTCAGCGACGCCAGCACTCACGCCTACTACTCTTTCGACGCGAACTCCGACGCCAGCGTCAGCGACGCCAGCACATACGCCTGCGCCTACACCCAGAACTTCAGCGAAGCCGTCGAGTTCAATTTCACATACTCCCAGAACTTTTGCGAAGCCGCCGAGTTCAATTCCACATACTCCCAGAACTTCAGCGAAGCCGCCGAGTTCAATTCCACAGACTTCCAGGACTTCAGCGACGCCGCCGAGTTCGATTTC